ACGAGCCTGCTGAACCTGTGGCAGTTACGCCACTGCTGCCAGTGCAGATCTCCCAGAACTTGGGACTCCTGCCGTTGCCGACCCCCATCTCACAAGGCTTGTATCTAAAAATGTTAAAGTATTTCTAACATCCTTCCACAGGTCAATGAAAGACCAACAGTTTGGCTGTATGACTCGCCAGGTGTCCTCACTCCCAAGATTCAACATCCAGAAGTTGGAATGAAACTTGCTGTATGTGGTAAGTATTGTTAAGCCTGGTTAATTAAATTGCTACACGCTATTGCTGACTCATTTATCGACGCTGATTGGTCATTTGAATCAGGGAGCGTTGCAAGAATTGCAGTGAAAACGCTGTAGCCACTGTGTAGCAATTTTATGGAAACCAGGCTTTATTGAGTCAAGTGGTTGAGTGATTAAGACAGGCTCACCACAACCTACAGGCTCCATATTGGCTCTGGTTTAAGACTTCTTACCGTTCAATATTTATGGGTGTAACTATAGCGCGGAGCGTTTTCTGAGGGCTGAAGGCCCAAGCCGGGGGTGGGTATGGTAGGGGTGTCCCTTCCTCCCAAAACAAGATTTAAAACAAAAAAATTGGGACTTCTAGATGTTCTGCTGGCCTGATCAGACGAAGCGATTGCTGAGACAGATTTGGCTTGGCTTAGGCAGTACAGTACTGGGATGGGAAAACTAGGCCTATTTTTTTTTTGTTTTGGTCCAAGTGCCTGATGAGCTTTGGCTAATGGTGGGGTGGGCTTGACCAGACTAATGGGTCTGGCTCTGCGCCGCCCCTGAGCCTTAGGGGAGTAGCCAGATGTAAGAATGGATAACATACACCTGTCTAAAGCTCGTGCTGATGTTTGTTTTATTTTTTTTTTCATTTAGGAACGATACCAGACCATCGGGTTGGGGTGGATATAATCTGTGATTACTTACTGTACACACTCAACAAACAAGAACTCTACAGGTATAAAGATATTTCAGCTTACTTTTCCTCATGTTTATGGTTTCCTCAGCATTAAAAATTAACAGAGTAATTAAAAAAAAAAAAAAAACCTAATATGCCACAGTAGTTGATCTTCTCAATCTTAGGATCAGGTTTCAAGCCTAGCTGTGCATTTCGCTTGTGTCCTTAGGTAAAGCAATTTACAGTTGTCTCTCTCCACCCAGGAGAAGCATTCCACAGTAAAAGTTTCTTTAACAGTAAAATATGTATGAACAACGGTATGAAACCAAACACTCTTTATGTGATGCCTCTTTGGAGACTTTTTCAATTACCGATCCAGAGGAAGTGGGGACTTGGTTTGTTCAAGGGACAATACACTAAGCACTTCGATGCCAGGAAGAGCTTTTTCAAACCAGTGCCCCTCGATAAAAGCCCCTGAAATGCGCCAATATGGAATTAATCAAGTCAAATGGCCAGGGGTAGAGGAACCTAGAAGCCTTGTTGCATGAAGAGCGTAATACAAGTAACATAATATTACAACTGTATTCATACTACAAATACTATTTTTGCATTTGTTCATTCCAGTTATGTTGAATACTTTGAGCTGAACAGCCCTACAGATGATGTTATGGAGGTTCTGTATCATATTGCTGATAAATATAAGAAGACATCTTTATTAAAAACGTTTGATGGTGGGACACTGATATTATTACCAAACCTAAACTAATAAAATTAAAGATATCTTCACTCAATTTAATGTTAGACAACATACTGGTCACTTACTACCATTAGCTCAAACTCAAGGAATGGTTAAATAAAATAATAATTACTACTACCGTATGTGTTTCGTCAAAGCAAAAAACTGCTTGTTTTTAGTTGACTACAGATGATGTTATGGAGGTTCTGTATCATATTGCTGATAAATATAAGAAGACATCTTTATTAAAAACGTTTGATGGTGGGACACTGATATTATTACCAAACCTAAACTAATAAAATTAAACATATCTTCACTCAATTTAATATTACACAACATACTGGTCACTTACTACCATTCAAACTCAAGGTATGGTTAAATAAAATAATAATTACTACTACCGTATGTGTTTTCGTCAAAGCAAAAAACTGCTTGTTTTCAGTTGGATGGCTGAAATCCAAGTCCAAAAAAGCACATACACATGTTAAAGAATGCTGTACACTCTTTAGGAAAGGCATTGTGTCCAGTGTAATACCTACTTGCCACCTGAAGGAAATTAATCGACTTTTGTGGGTTATCCATAGTGTTCACACCGAGTAAATTGAATCCAATTGGAGTAGTTTTTGGTGTCTTTGTTGTACTACTTGGCTGTTTAGTTGTGTTGTTTTTTTAAAACCATAATTATAGAGGATGATCCTTCCAAGGTATCCTAGAATGTGTTGGCTGATATTCAGGCAGTTCCTCTTAAAAATAAATGAAATGATTTAATCTTTTTGTGAGGCTCACAAAGTGGAGTTGTTTTTAGTTCCGATAAAATGTCCTGCTGTCAAAGGAATTAAGCCAAGGACCCTGGGAAAGAAGCAAGCACCTAAACCACTATTATTAAACTCCCAGTTAATAATGTAAATTAGGTATATGCAGTATTTGATGATGATTGATTGCTAATTTTGTTTTTCACGCTTTGTATACTTTTTTTATTTTCAGGATCTGTGGTAAGGAGGCCAAATACATTTGCAGCTGCAGATATTATGTTGCATGCATTTCGTAAAGGGAAGCTAGGCAGAGTAACCATGGACGCAACGTAGTTTGATCTGACATTGAAGCCTCCATAGTAGTTAAATGCATTTAGAGCAGCAAATACAGTATGTTACAGACCTTAGTGGAAAGCCTGGCAGTGACCTATGACATAACCTGGGTCAACTGATACATCATAGCTTGCACTGTTGGATCTTTCTCAAGTTCAGATTTCTCAAGTTCTACAGAAATTTAGCCTTGTTACGTATGGAATTGGAGAAAATATTATGGAATATCATTAGGCCTACATCCAATGTCCAGGATGTCTTGACATTCCACAGCTGTTATTACACTATAGGCGAGATTTTTTTTATACCTTGTTTAGTTGACCAATCAGTACACATGCTGCCTCCGTTAGGAAATTTATTTTAAATTTCTTTCTGTAAATTGACGTACATGCCGGATATGTATTAAATATTCATAAACTTTGATGTAGTCAAACTGTTGTTTGTTCAATCGCTGCTAATAATATTATTTTTTTTTTCTTTTCTTTTATTTCTTCTTTTTTTTATTCATTCATTCATTCAACAAGTGAAAACAAAACACATAAAGTTTGAGAATAAATAACCTAAGTTGGCAATGATTAAGTGGGATAAACACCGGCTCTCAAGCCTAGGCCTTAGCAGAGTAGGCCTAAATTTCATTTTTTAAAGAAAAATTATATTTGATATACCATGCGCGGTAGGATGTTTTTCTGGGGGATTAAGCTGACCGACAAGGGGATTAAGCTGACCAACGAGGGGGTGAGTAAGGTATACTTCGGTGCGCATCGCCATCCGAGGGCCTTCTGACCGTCCAACAGGGGAGGGAAAGGGTTTGGGAGGGAGGAAGGAATTGGTTTGGGAGGGAGGAATTGGTTTGGGAGGGAGGAATTGGTTTGGGAGGGAGGAGTTCCCTCCATAATGAGATTTTTAAAAAATAGGGATCCTCTTGATGGCCAGGAAATGGCACTCTCCGACTTGAAAAATACTTTTAAATATAAATTTGATCATAGAGAAACAAAATTTCTCTATGATTTGATAAAATACAATTTTTTACTATACTCTCAAACTCAACTAAATAACCTATTTTTTTTTGTTTTTTGTCCGACTGCCCGACAAGATCTAGCCAGTGGGGGGGGGGGCCTTTGACCTGTTAGATAGGGGGCTTTTCCCCTGCCGCTCTCCTGCTGGCGCCGCCACTGGATTCGACCACTGACATACTGCTGGATCAGAGACTAGACCCATACGATGCTGTAAGTATTTTGGCCTACTACTATCCCATCTTCGGGCGTATTCGACTGGTTCATTTCGTTGACTACAAATTTTTGTTGAGTATTATTTTCATTCGACTGGTTCGTAAAATAGACTTTGTTGACAACGAAAATTAACATAAACCAGAGTGCATTAATCAGCATATAAGTTATTCACGTGACCAAAGTGACCAAAAGAAACATGGCCGATTGGTGAGTTAAGAAACAACATTTGCGTTAATACAATTTAGATTAAATTTCAGAAAATAAAAATTATATTTACCAGCATGAAATCAAAAAATAATTGTAGGCTAACAGAATTCAAAAACTGGATGAAAATATTTTTTTTATGAAGAACCCATACTGTCACAAGCTGACACAACCTTGATTACGCAGCGTGTATTGCGGTAACTATGCAGCCATTTTGTTTTGTTGAGTATTTACAAGTTTTCTATTTGACTGTTCGTCTTCGTTGAGTAGGATTTTACCGCTGCGCAGTTGGGCGTGGTTTAACGAAGAACGACCAGTCAAATACGGCCATTTATGTCGTGTCAAGATAAGATTTATTCATCTTGCATTTTTTATAAAATTAAGTAATAAAATTCACTCAATTTTCACTCTTTCTATTAAAAAAAAACCAATTACATATATTTATAGAGGGTGACACTTTCAGCACATCCTGGAAGGTGATCCTTTATCAGCCAAGTCTCATTATGAAGCGTAGGGAATGACCAGGATATGAGTTTCGGTCATGAGAAAAAATCTTGTGATATCAAAGGATATAGACCCTGATCCTGATATTCGAAGGCAAGCATCTAGCCACCAAGCTACCCATCATCATCTTCTTCAAGTGCCATACATAATGCAAGCTTTGGCGGTCAAGAACTTCCAACGCTGACGAGCTCTCACCTATGTCTGCTGTAGGATGTGATAGTGTGGATAGAGAATTAACATGGAACATAAACATTACTGTATAAGTATTTTTACTAAGATTTGTGTTCTTTTTTTTGTTTTAAAAACCGATAATTAAAACTACATCAAACACCATTTCAAAAGTGGCAATTTATTAGTGCAAAATTGTAAAGAACAAGCATAAATTCTATTGGTATATATACATGATCAGAAAATATTTTTTATCACATTTTTACAAACAGTCCAAAACTTAAATCTCCCTATACCTACTAATGGACCTATCAAGAGTATCAAACTTCACAAATAACCAATCAGAACAGGTCCAGGAACATGAATGTCCTACAAACACCAATGTCATCCCACAAGCGCATGTGTTTAAATACGTTTACGCTAATGTTTTGTAGGATATCCAAGGAGCAGGGCGGGGTCTAGCGGAAAGGTCCATATTCA